GGGGGGCATGGCCTGAGGTCCCCCATCAAGCCCCGCCAGGCAGGGGACACGGCCTGAGGTCCCTGTCAAGCCCCGCCAGGTGGGGGGCACAGCCTGAGGTCCCTCGGCACGGCGCTGGGTGGGGGGCACGGCTTGAGGTCCCCTGTCAATGAGTTCCCTCACCCAGGTCAGGTGCCGTGCAGCCTCAGGTCCCTGCTGTTTGGTCATGATGTTACGGCATCCCAGCTAATTTGCATATTCCTCTATTATATAGACTAGAGGCCCATTGCAGGAAGAGATTTGTGCAATAGGCCTTTCCTTCCCCTGGCTGCCGGCACCGGTTTTCCTCCGGCACCCGGGACCCAGGCCTTCAGTCTTCGCTCTGCCGCTTCGCCCCTACATATGCAAATTAACTGCCATCTTTGTTGGGTTAATTTGCATACTCTCCTGATTGGCTGGTGAGCATAGCGGGGGATGGTCAATTTACATGTTTGTCTATTATTAGGTAAGATTAACTTTATTTCTGTGTATTTTTCAGTTCTAGTTCATTTTGTATGGGAATCTCTTCTTCAAATACATATTCTTTGTGATGTTTGTTTATATTGAGAAAAGCCATTGATTTTTTTCAGTATTTTAGATTACTTTTAACTTTTAATTCGTGCACCTTGAAAGGAACTATGGGTCTCAAGGCTGCGGTGGGCACAGGAGCAGGTCTTGGCCCATTCTCCATGCTCCCACCTGGCCCCTCCCACCGTGCCCCCCCCGACCCCCTATCTGCTGGCAGCCCCACTCCCGCCGCCGCTCCCATGCGCTGATAGCGCTGGCCCCGCTCGCACCTGCTGATAGCATGGAATGATTGGGGCCAATGCCAGCAGCTGGTGCGAGCAGCAGCTGCTGCCCTGATTGCCCCTCAGGTGCAGGAGAAGGTAGGGAAGCCCTCAAGGGCAATCAGGGCTGGCAGCCACCGCTCACACATGCTGACGGCACCGAGCGATCGGGGCCGACAATGGGCGCCAGCAGTGGGTTCAAGCAGGGTCGGCGCTGGCAGCAGGTGCGAGTGCTGGGCGGGACTATGGTGTGCCAGAGCAAAGAATTTTCAGTAACCACCAGAGGCTTGCATCGATGACAGCAACTGGCCTTGGTCTGGTGCCCCCTCTCACCTGCTCCACCATCCTGCCGTAGCCTATGCCCACCATGTTGCGTGCTCTGCTGCCTGCTGCCGACGCCCATCATGTTCCGGGCACGTCCCCTGGTGGTCAGCGCACATCATAGCGATTGGTTGTTCAGTTGTGCAGTTGTTCTACTGTTTGGTCTATTTGCATATTAGGGAGATATATATTATATATCCTTTGGTTTTTATGTGCTTTTTTTGGTTATTCAAGACTCAATCTTCAACAAAGAAATGATAAAATTGGCTCGTCTTTTCTAATTTCTGTACCTCTCATTTCTCTTGCATGAGTGCACCAAAAGGAAAAAAATAGTGATGTATTCATGATACCTTTGGCTATTCAGAAATTTTACAGCTTTACATAGGAAAAGCTGTCGTCTTTGCTTTCAGAGCTTCTGAGATTCACATCTTTCTCTGAGAGATATTTCCCATTCTGCAATGCTAAAGACACATTTCATGTTTTCTTCTAATATTTTATAGTTTTCAGTTTTACATTTAGATTCTTTAATCCATCTGGAATTTATTTCTATATATTGCGTGAGATAAAAATCTAACTTTATTTTTTCCAGATGGCTTGCAAAATTTCCCAACATCATTTATAAAATTGGTCAGTCTTTCCTCACTAGTTTGAAATGCCACTTTAGTCATACTCTAAATAGATCGTTGTGTTGTTTTTTTAAACCAGAGCTTACAATCTAAATGAAATGAATTACAGTGGAGAACAAAGACAAGTAATTCAAACAAAAAATGAACATTGAGATAAAGTTGTAAACAAACTATTTAATGTATATATAATAAAATACAAATGTCATTCATTGCAAAATAGTATAAATATGAGTAATTAAGAGAAAATATTCATATAAAATATTCAGAGGCTGAACATCCATAAGATATAAGGTTATAGCGGTTGATTATTGAAACATTGTTTAGAATAACTCCCATCATATGAAACGTTATTTGAAGCCTAGGAGCTTTAAACATCCTCCAGCTGCCTAGTTTAACCCCAAATCAGATGTTTCTGACAGTGGATCAGAATGTCCTTTAAGTAAAAAAGCCAAGTCTGAAATTAGAAAAAGTGTAACCATCTCCTCTTATAATTCAAGATTGTTTGGTTTTTCACTTACTTCTCTGAAGCTCTGTAATATTTCAGTATCTCATTTTCCTGGCAGTAGAGTGAACCTGGACAGAGACTTGGCCTCTTGCAATTGTTTCTTTTAACAAGAGAGTTGATTAAGAGTCATTGAGATGAAATGCCAAAGATAATAAAAGTCAGTGTTGAACTCTGAAACCTGCATGGAAATCCTAAAGCATGCACACCTACAACTCATGCCTTCCCATGGCTTTGAAAATTTGCTCTTAAGCTAATAATCAATATTATAATAGCAAATCCTGATTTTTCTTAGCCATGTCTTTCTGGTCTACAAATCCTGAGGTGTTGCTATGAACTGCAGCAAAGCCAATTGACACATTTGTTTAACAATCTCATTTTGGAAGATTAAAAAGAATGTTATTGGCAATGCAAGTTTTTATTTTCGTATGTTATCTGTATCAGCTTCAATAAAAATTAACAAAGTCATCAAAGACAAAAACAGATTACTCATCTTGCAATGCTAAGTCAGGTCCTCTGAGACCCAGCTAGGGAGGGGAAGCAACACCAACAAGGTGGTTGCGAGGTGAGTTTTTACACAGCATCCTTAAAACATGCACACTGTATTTTCTCACAAGTGAACTATGTTCTGAGGGAGAACATTTGATTGAGCTTTCATCAAGCAGTTAAAATACAACAACAATAACAAATAAATCACTTTCTTCAGTGGTTGGGGGATTGGCGTGTGTCTGTAGGGGGTGGTACGGAGGTATGGCCTGCATCACAGTATACAGATGATCTGAGGCACTTATTGCAAATTACAAGGAGACAAGTCTCAAAATGTCAACATATGGGATGTAACTGTTGTTCTAGACACTTCATAGTGAACAATTGGATGTTTTTAAACATTACCATGTTTGGCAATCTACAATAAAGAAGTACAGTAACAATAACTTTTTAATTTTTCATGAGGGGTCCTAGAGATAAAACCTGGACTTAAGTTTTATTTTTAAATAAGCTAAATGAAAAGAGATTTTCTTTCTGCAAAAAAAACACTAAATTCAAAAGGGTGGGAGTGCTGGCAGTTAGGTGAACAAAGGATGCCTTTGGCGGATTTTCCTGGAAAATGTTGCTGGGGCATGTTTCTGTTTTTTCACCATTGATTGCTGAGATGGTCCTGGGTGCTCTTTGCCTTCTTGGGACTCCAAATGAAGCTAGACTCTGGACTTTACATTTCCAGGCCTTCGGAGGAGTGCTAATTACAAAATACTTTACTAAAACGCTAGAAACTCATTCACAAAGCCAAGCCAAGTCTCAGATTTGAAAGCATTTAAAAATATCCTTGCAACAGCCCATATTACTTTATACTCATCTATTTTTAGAGCCCCAATGTTTGTTTTGCTGGAAGAAAAAATTAAAACATGTAAAGTATGCCATGAGCAAATCTGCAGTAATAAGTAGCACATACATGTTGTGGAGGAAAACATTCACTATGAAACAGTCAACATAAAAACAGATTCTGCGGAGGCGGTTTTATAAATAGCAGCTATTATTTTGCTTTCAATTGTGAAGCACTTTAAATAACAAGCCCTTAAAAGTTGTCAAGTTTCTTCCTTTAGATAGATATGATTTCCTGATCTTTCATAAAATTATTATGGAAAATTATAAATGGATCCCATTAGTTTCATGTGTAATTTTACAATCATATTGTTAAAATTAGAAACACATGGGAGAAAAGAAAGAAATAGAAACATGATATCAGGCACTGAAGAAGCCAATAATTGGAAATTATTCATTTCTCTATATAAAAAGAGAAAATGCCTATGGAACTTTTAATCAAATCTTTTGAACAGATGTCATGCCATAGAGATTTATAGATCAAATTGTCCCAATTAATTGTCATTAAGTCTCACCCAACTTAGGGACATACCCTGCCTTATCTTTAGCAGGGTCTCTTTGAGTTCCTGAGCATAGTAACAGGAGGAACTGTGCTTTGAACCCCAAAAGGACGGTTTGGCACTGTTTGCCTCATATAATTACTGTGATACAGCCAGGTAAATTTTCCCACTGTATCCTTAAAAGCAAAAATTGTTTTAAACGGGTTCTGAATCGCCTCCATCTGAAATGTATAGCAGTGTATAAAGGAAAAGTGTGACTATGACAATATTGGGGAAATGAACTCTTAACGCAGGGCAGAAAGGTGAATTTCCCGATTTCCACAATGCTGTGCCACATGTCTTCTGACCCCGTCACTAATCAAGGGCTGCTGGCAGTGTGTAGGGCTGATGTAAGCCCTGTCCCCAACATCTTCCCTGGGACCAAGGCCATCTCCAGCAGTGGCAGTTCAGACTGCTGGCAGGCACCAGAAACTAGGGTCACCCTTAAAGGGCCTGTAGCCCCGTTCCGCACTGCTGCAGTGCTTCCTCGCGTCAGCTCACATGATTGGACTTGTCTATACAGAAAACGGTGACGTGCAGTTAAGAAAATACTGACAAATGCCGCCAATCACGTTCCGAGTGGAAATTGTGACTTCGCGGCATTACCAGTATTTCCTGCCTCGCAACCAGTGGATCTGTAACTGAAATGGCTTGCTGTGAATTTTGCAGTGCCCCAGCCAGAAGCAATAAAATTTCTGTTAGAGCATATGCGCCATGACAGAATACCACATCAGCCCAGAAGAATGATTTTCCCGGGAAGGTCTGTGCAGAGAAGCTGGGCAGAGATTTTCACTGTTTCTAGCCCCCAGTGAGGTAATGTTAAAGGCACATTTTCCTTTATTTGTTCTGCATTCACTGAATGTAGTTTTTTCTCTTTTTTTTTTAATGTCAGAGGGACATTGCAGAAAAGATGAGATGAGACAGTCTGACAATGGAGCCAAAGTTGAAAGCTCCTCTGTTTTCAGGTAACAGCCCCGGATGGTTTGTCTGCACTCAATCTCTTGAGGGCATGTCGTAGTAACCCTGCCCATAGCTTGTCAGACAGTTCAAGACAAACAAATCACTTAGTTGTTGAACAACTATAACATCTGATACCATCACACAAATTGTAACAATAGCCACTAATCAAAGTTCTTTTCATTCAGTTTAAGAAAGAGAACTTCTCAGCTTTGGCTTGATTACCTAAAAGTAAAAGCCTTTCAAAGTGAAAGGCAACAAGCATTTATTTGAGATCAATAAAAAAAAGCTCCTCAGAATGCATTGATTCAGGCCGAAGCCCAAATCGTGCTCTGATTAGGAGACAATGGCAAAGGGTATTTATGAGAAAGGAAAAGGGAACAATTACATCAATAGAAGAGAGGCCTTTCTATTGGTGCAGATAACATAGTGCCGCTAATTCTAAAAATGTTTTTAATTTTTGGTCAGGTAGCCATCGGTCCGGTAGTCAAAATATCTACTCTCTTACTATCCTTGCAAACACTTCTTTGGGACACGTGGTTGCGTTAGGCTCGGTCCAGAGGCTGTTTTGCCCTGTGTTAACATCCCAAAGTGTGAGGCACGTGACCTGCAAGGCAGTTCCTCTGGCCTGGCAGCTCTTGCCCCATTTCAAAGTGGCTCTGCTTATATCATTTTGACGGGTTCAGGCCCCTTTTTGTTGTTCTTTTGAAAATTACTACATGTAAGATTTAGAAGAAGGGGGGGGGGGTTCTGTTCGTCAGAAGAACTGGGACGTCAAGTGTTTTAGTGGCATGCGGCTGCCCATAACTAACTACGGGGTTGGGGGAGAGTCCTCCGAGGCGCCTGGCGAGGCTCGCAAAGGCACAGCCGCGCCCTCCTTGGAGCCGCCCTCCCAGGCCCCAGGGGAGACCCCACTCTCCAGGGGCTCGGCTGGGCCGCCCCGCTCTCCCTTCAGGACCTCTGGCTGCCTTCGCAGAGAGGCACGAGCGCCCAGTGCCAGGACAACCAGGCGGTAGAGGTGTAACATCACCACGAGGAAATTCTTTACAGCAAAGAACACCAGCATCTGGTTGAAAACTTTGTAATAGGCCATCAGTACGAGACGCACGATGAGGAAGGGACCGTCTTGTATGAAGACGCTGATTCCAATGTTCCACAGATCGGCACTGTATTGGCAAAAGAACAGGCTGGGGAACCCCCTCGCCCTCAGAGACAAGGGGCACACGACATGCTGAACTGAAAACACAAGACACACCAATTAATGTATCTCTCTGAAACGCCAGAAAGTAAGACAAGAATGAAATGGGAACAAGTCTCCAACACTGGGTGCCCTCCTAGTTCATGACTGAGAGTGACTGGAGTTTCATTCAGTCGGAACAGGGGAAACATCCTTGGTCATTGTATATTCAACGATATGTTTTGTTGCCAATAAAACACACCAAAGAATGCCAGTCCTCTAGTTTTTGTGCATGTCAACAATTCAGATCACCTTCCAGTCCTCACACTGGGAAAAGCACAATTAACCAGGATAGAGAGACTCAAGAATAGAGGAAACCACCACGTTGGTCCCTGGGTCTGCAGTGGGGGAGGCCGCCCAGCGGGTGCCCTGGGCCTCGTTAGGGGGCCTGGCTGCCTCTCCTTGGCTTCCTCATTTTTCAGAGGAAACCACCACGTTGGTCCCTGGGTCTGAAGTGTGGGGAGGCCGCCCAGCGGGTGCCCTGGGCCTCGTCAGGGGGCCTGGCTGCCTCTCCTTGGCTTCCTCATTTTTTGGCAGGAAGATGCTGGGCAAGTTCATCTGCCTGAGTCTTATTTTCCTGCTTTGAAAAATGGGATAACAATGACATCTGTGAGGAGAAAGTCCCCATCTCACTGATTCTTGTTTGTTTCCATTAGAATAACACCCCTGGCTCCTTTCTCTTCTCTCACATTATCTTCTCCTTGGGATAATGAGTGACTTCCCTGACTGCCAAGTCTGGAGATGCAACAGAGTAAGCATGACCCAGAACCTTCGGCCTCTTCTCCTTGAGAGCTACCTATTTATGGGTTGACTTACTTAATCCTCTGTGTACATTGTGTTGTGAAAATTCAAGCACTTATATTCAAATTCAAACTTAACTCATGTTCAACATATTTTTCTAATGGTGGTGAAAAAAACTAAAAAATAGCCATTATTATTTTGTCTAATTCCTTATGGTTTTGTTTCACAGTTTACAAGAAAAACTGGATATAATTACTGATTTTCCAGTTGAATAAAATGAGGTCTAATCAACAAATGAACCTTTTTGTTTTAATTTCTAAAATGTGAATTTAATTTAGGGTCAAGGGCAGAATATAATCCTTTAATAATAACGAAGCCTTCCATTTGGAGCTTTCAAACAAAGAATGCCTGTCTGCTAAAGCCTGCAAATATTATGAAGCTGCTTTGATATGAACATAATGTTGTTCCCTGGAAAATACAATAGTAATTTAGTCAGAAGTAACATTTGGTCTTTGTTTTTCAAACAGCTGCATAACATTATCACCCTCTGAAACTTTACACAATTTCTTTCTTAAATAAAAATTTTTTTAGCAACGCTATAAACCACAAGATATGGGAGGGTGAGGACCAGCAGATTGAAAGACAATAAACAACATTAACAAAAGATCAATAATAGTCTTTCCAAAGAAGTGAGAGTCAGGAAAAGGCTCCCAGCGGACTTCTGAAGAGTATTATTGTTCCATATGTAGAGAGATGGTGCCTAATATTCTGTCCAAAGACACCAGCCGATCAATGGGTATAGGACACCTTGCAGGGCACATTATGACAAGACCTCTCTCTCTCTCTCTCTCTCTCTCTCTCTTTCTCTCTCTCTCTCTCTCTCTCTCCCCCCATCTCTCTCTCGTGTGTGTGTTGTGTGTGTGTGTGTGTGTGTGTTATTGGCATACGTTTGTTTGTTTGTAATTATTAACTGGTAATTAGGTTTTTGGTATTTCCAAAAAGCTACAGCCACTCTTTCCATCTATCCTAGTGACAATTTTGTTTCAGAAACGTAGATGCTAAGGTTTAAAATGACCCCTGAAATGTCTAGGCCTATCAAAGTGAGCCAAAAAAAGATGCAGAAAATTTTATTTTTTTATGTTTATTTTATTGAATTTATTGGTGTTACATCGGTTAATAAAAGTATATAGGTTTCAGGTGTACAATTCTTTAATATATCATCTGTATATGGTATTGTGTGTTCAACTCTACTTCCATCACTATTTATTCCCCCTTTACTTTCTTCTACCTCTCCCCACCCCCTTTTCCCTCTGATAATCACTATTTTCTGTGTCAGTGTATTCTTTTTTCTTTGCTCAGTTCCTTCATCTTCTCACCCATTCCCCCAATCCCTCCTCTCTGACAGTTGTCAGTCTAGTCTCTGTCTCTCTAAGTCTGCTTCTGTTGTGTTTGTTAGTTTATTTTGTTCATTAGATTCCACATATAAATGAAATCATATGGTACCTGTCTTTTCCCTGACTGGCTTATTTCACTTAGCACACTGCTCTGCATGTCCATCCATGCTGTCACAAAAGGTAAGATTTCCTTCTTTTTTATGGCTGAGTAGTATTCCATTGTGTAAATGTACCACAGGTTTTTTTTAATCTACTCATCTACTGATGGGCACTTGGGTACTTCCAAATCTTAACTATTGCAATATATTTGCCCTAATATTACTTATGATATGAGGGCATCAAGTAGGGTGCCATAAAAAATAAATCAGCAGCATTATTTACAATAGCCAAGATTTGGAAGCAGCCCAAGTATTCACCAGTAAACACATGGATAAAAAATCTGTGGTGCAGTTACACAATGGAATACTACTCTGCTGTCAAAAGGAAGAAAATTCTCAACCCTAGCTACTATGATTGTCATTTCCATTTCATGGATGAAAAACTGACACACAGATGTGTTAACTAAGTTACAGGAGGCTTACAAATGTTAAATGATGGGACCACTGTATGAAGTGAATGTAAAGCTATGCTCTCATCCTCTCAACTTTCTCAGACTCACCATGTATCAGAGTGAATCTGCAGATGGCTTTCCTAAGTTTTAATCTACTTTTCATCTAAACTGAACTGGAACTAACACTGAGATATCAAAAGATAAAAATGATAATTCTTTTAAATGCCTCCTTAGCTCTATTATAATTTATGATCAAGAGTTGTAATTTTCTGTTTCATTGAGAAAACATCAAGACACTTACCTGCCAGGTCAAGTGGAAACTGCAGCATGCTCCAGGTCCAAATACAAAGGATGCCATAGACTAGGCTAGGGTTATTCCTAGAATGCAGACAAATTTTAAATTAGCAATTAAAATTGATCACATGCAGAAAGGAGAACTCTTTTCTGTTTCTTCTCATATTTTAGTATACCCCAATAAGTCTTACTATATTTTGCTGATATAATAAATCCATGAAAAATCCATGCATAATTACAATGGAATAATGTAAAAGAAGGGGGAAAACACAGAGTCAGAGAGGTTGGCCTTGACCACCACATGTGCCAACATCTGTGTGAATCAAATGAAATCATAAGTTGCTTTACAGGAAGAATAAAGACTAGCATTTTAAGTGGAAATGCCTAAGGAGCACAGTCAATTACTTTTCCTTCTTTGCAATGTCAATGTCTATCTATAGTAGACTTTCAACAAGTACCTGCATTTTTAAATAATTTTGCTTATAGTGTCTGAACTATGTGCAAGCAGTTTTCTAAGTGTTTAATTCTATGATCACACTTAATCCTAATACCAACTCTACAAAGTACCTGCACTATTTTTCTTACTTGACCAGTGGGGAAACAGGCATACAGAGTTGAAGAAACTTGTTTGAAGTCATGTGATTAAAAGTGTTGGGTGCAGAAATCAAAACTAAATAGCTGATTTCAGCATCCACCCTTTTAACCATTATACTATACTATTTCCATGAAGGAAATGGAAGTTTTACTCCTGTTCTATTCTACAATGTTCAGAATATATCTGAAATATTATATGTTGTGCTTTGTTTTAGGAGAAACAATTAAAAACTTTTTGGTTCAAAGGAGAGAAACAGTATGGTAGATAACTCAGAGCCATGTTATATGTGGAGTAGTTCAAGAAACTGGAAACTAGAGAAGATTCCTTTAAAACTTTATTTCATACATTTAAAGGGCTATCATGTGGGAAAGAAATTAAACTTATTTCTTGTGACTTCAGGGAGCCAATTCAGGTTGAAGAGACTTCAGTTGCACCTATAAGAATCCAAATTTCATCACAATAGAGGAAAATTCTTTCTAATAATACTAACTTAAAATAGAATAACCTGCCCCTGGGGTAGTGTATGCTTTGTTAGCAAAAATTTCAAAGAAAGGCTGGACAAAACTTATTGAGAAATTTTTGGAAAGGATTTTATAATCGACATAAAATAAGTGGTCACTTTTGAAGTTTCTTCTAATCCAAAACTTCAATAATTCTACCGAAAACCCATGTACAATTTTTCTTTAAGGCAGCAGAAAGTGTTGGGAAAGCATAAGCTCGAGTACTAGGTTGCTCAAGTTCAAATACTCGCTCCACCCTCACCAGAGAGATCTGGGCCTCCAATCCCATACTGATCATTAACTAGCTACATGAATATGAAGAACTAACTTGACAACGATATGCTATAGTATACCCATCTTTGATATGAAGGTAACAATAATAGCTATTGTATTTTATATGATAATTTTATTAAGTATGTTGCTTAAATACATTAAACATATAAAGCTCTTAGAACAATACTCCATAAAGACTATGAAAGATCACTACAACTTAGTTACTGCCTTTATTTTCATTTGAGCTTGAGACTTTCTCAACTTCTCTTACCTGTCACTGTTCAGCTTAAAAAATGATGGAAATGCCCATCCAGCATGGCTTAGTGGTTGAGCATCGACCTATGAACCAGGAGGTCATGGTTCAATTCCCTGTCGGGGCACATGCTTGGGTTGTGAGCTCAATCCCCAGTGTGGGGCATGCAGGAGGCAGCCATTCAATGATTCTCTCTAATCATTGAGGCTTCTCTCTCTCTCTCTCCTTTCCTCTCAGAAATCAATAAAAATATTTTTAAAGTAAAATATATTTTTTAAAAATGATTTAAATGATAGTATCTACTTCATAGTGTTATTTATAAAGACTAAATAACTTATCACAACTAAAACCCTTAGAACAGTGCTTGGAACACAGCAAGTAATAAATAAATATTATCTAGTAGTCGTATTTTTATTATGAGAACATACTTCTTAAATTCTTTGTGTTTAATTTTATTATACAAAATAAGGATAAAAAATATACTAACCCTAGCCCTAAGTAACCCAAATTCTAATCCTAAAATAATGAATGCATGTTTTTTTGCATATGCAAGTTTTATTTGAGCACACACAAAATAAGGGAGAATGTGTGTGTTGAGAAACTTACTAGTAAAGTTATTAAAATAACTTTAAAATTGATGGCCAGATGATTTTTGAAGCAAACAAATTTGCATTATTAAATCAAATAGTAAAAGTTACTCAGAAAGGTTAAAGGTTAGAATATAAATAAATCACTGAATTTAAATGGCAAACACTCAAAAAATTGTACAGGAATTTTGGAGTGAATTTGTCCAACATTATCTGCATTATGTAACTGTCTCCTGCAATTGTCTTGCCCCATTTTCTCATGTATAATCTGTCTCCATAACTGTCAACTGAAAAGCATGTAAGCAGACAATGGACTCTATTCATAAAGAGACAAAGGCTCTGGAGTCGTATCATTGTAGATGTGAGCATCACTTCTATACTCGGAAAACTGGGTGGATAAAAGACTGGAATTTGGTGCATCAGTGCACCATATCTATTAAGTGATAAAAATAAAAATAAAAATACATTGTTAATTTGCTTAACTATTTCTTTTTGGAAGTGTAAATATTCCTGTAGATAAGAGACAATCAGTGAATAAAATTCATCTTGCTTTTACAAACAAACCTCTTTGAGAGGTGGAAGATAAAGGAGAGAGAGAAAAAAAAACAAGAAAATGAAATATTAATTTAGCCTGGAAGAAATGTTTCACCAGGCAAAAAGAGCCAAATAAAAGGAAAATAGTGTAAACGTAAGAAAACCCTCCTTTGTGTGGTCAGATACTCACAGTAAAATAACAGTAATGCTATCAGAACAAATTTGTTCTTTTTAACAAATGATCTGTGCTCGGAAAAGACTGAATAAACTGATCACCAAAGATGTGATGACCACTTAACTCTTCCTGGCAATGACATTGAAATTCAGACTTGTTACAGTGTTGGAGGGTGGCTGTAGCAGAATGAGAAAGTCAGCAAATCCTCTCCCCAACAAGCATACCTAATGCTGGACACATTGTTTTTAAAAAACAAAACAAAAACCACTTTACATCTCTGGAAGTCAACAAAAACAAATTATAAATTGAGTTACATTTATTCATGAAAATCTGGTAGAACTTTAGTTACGAGCAGTGGAGTCTGAGGCACTCTTGCCCATGGGATGTTCCCATATTCTTCCAGCTTGGCTATGTCAAAGACAATTGGACCCAACTGAGTTAATAAGGCAAGGAAGACTGTATTCAAGACTGTTGCAAAAGTGGAGAGAGACTGAATTCACCCCTACTGAAAAAAAAAAGGAAAGATGTTAAGCACTGGGTGAACTAGTGTAAAAGTCCTAAAGGACATTAGGGAGGGAAAAGCAGTGTAAGACCTGTACATTAAAAATGGCAAAGCACCCCTGGCTGATGTGGCTCAGAGATTAAGGTGTTGGCCTTCCCTGGCACCAAAGGTTCATGGGTGCCATTCCTGGTCAAGGGCATGTACCTGGGTTACGGGTTAATTCCTGGGTCTGATTGGGGTACATGCAGGAGGCAACCAATCAATGTGTCTCTCTCACATCAATCTCTCTCTTTCTCTCTTTCTCTCTCCCTCCTTTCCATTCTCTCTAAAAAAAAAAAAATCAATGGAAAAATAGCCTTGGGTGAGGGTTAACAAAAAATTTTACAGAGCGTTGTTGAGAAAAATTAAGGAGCATTTTAATAAAATATGAGATAGTTAATGTCTTCCATAGATTGGAAGACAATATTAAGATGTAATTTCTTCACAAATTGATGCTTAGATTTAATACAGTTCTTATCAAAACTCCCACATATTTTTTTGTAGAATTTGACAAAGTGATTATAAAAATTTATGGAAATAAAAAGAACCTAGAGTAGCCAAAACAATTTTTAAAAAGAACAATGTTAGAAGACTTACAGAATTCAGTTCCAAAACTTACTATAACACTCTAGTAATCACAATAATGGGGTACTGCCATAAAAATATACATATGGAGCAATAGAACCCAATAGAATGTCCATAAAAAAACCCAAACTCTTACATATGTGATCAGTTGACAAAGATGCCAGAGCAATTTAATAGGGAATGAATAGTCTATTCAACAAATGGTGTGAAGAGGATTGGTCCTAGCTGGGGGAAAAATAGTACTGGAACAATGCCCAAAACAAAACAAGACAAAAAGGAACTTAGAACCTTACATCATACTACCCCCCAAAAAATAAGTAAAAATATTACAGAGGAGAATATTTCTAACTTTAGGTGAGGAAAATATGTTTTAGATATGACACCCAAAGTATTATATAAAAGAAAAAAATAGATACATGGGACTATATCAAAACTTTTTAAAGTGTTCTTCAAATGACATCTATACTAATAAAAGGGTAATATGCTAATTAGACCAGACGTCTTCCGGACATCCTAACGGATGTCCTTCTGGACAAAGCCACGGTGGCAGGGGCCGAGGCAGAGGCAGTTAGGGGCGATCAGGCCAGCAGGGGAGAGCAGTTAGGGGCAATCAGGCAGGCAGGCAGGTAAGCGGTTAGTAGCCAGCGGTCCCAGATTTTGAGAGGGATGTCCAACTGCCAGTTTCGGACATCCCCCGAAGGATCCTGGATTGGAGAGGGTGCAGGCTGGGCTGAGGGACACCCCCACACACATGCATGAATTTCATGAACTGGGCTTCTAGTTAAATAATAAAAAACATTATGTATACTGGGAGAAAACATTTACATTTATACATATAATAAAGGATTTGTATCCAGAATATATAAAGAACTCATAACTCAATAATAATAAAAAATCAATCCAATGAAAAATGGGCAAAAATTTGAACAGACACTTTACAAAGGAAGATATATGAAAGTCTAATCAGTACATGGAAAAATGCTCAACAGTATTAGTCATTAGGAAAATATAAATTAAAACCACAATATGATCCTACTATGAACCCACTATAATGGTGATCATCAAAGACTGGAAAAAAAAAAGTGTTGTTGAGGATGTGGGGAAAAAAAAGAACACTCATTGTTGGTAGGAATATAAAAAGGTACAGCCATTTTGGAAAAGTTTTGAAGTTTCTTAAACGTTAATCATGTACAGTGGGGCCTTGACTTACGAGTGTCCCGACTAACGAGTTTTTCGAGATACAAGCCATCTCTCGGCCGATTTTTTGCTTTGAGTTGCAAGCTAAAATTCGGGTTACGATTCAGCTTCAGATACCCCACCGCTAGTTGGCGCAGCGAACGTCACAGTGATTTGACATACGAGTAATTTGAGTTACGAGCTCCATCACGGAATGAATTAAACTCGTAAGTCAAGGCCCCACTGTACTTATCATAAAACCCAGTCATTCTACTTCTAGTTATCTATTCAATAGAAATGAAAACAGATCCATCCAAAGGCTGCTGGTGAATGTTCATAGCAATATCATTATTAATAGCAAGAAAATAGCAATCATGTATATAAACTATGAAAAGGATATGTAAAATATGGTATATGCATGGGATACTATTCAGCAATTTAAAATTACTGATAGATGCAACAATGTTAATGAACCCCAAAGCATTATGCTATGAGAAAGCCAGTCACAAAAGACTGCGCATTTCATGATTCCATTTACATGAAGTTTACAAAAAAACAACAGAAAGCATATCAGTGGTTACCTAGGATTGCTAGTGGGAGTGAGAATTGACTGCAAAGAGCCATAAGGAATCTAGATTCTAGTGATGGTTATACAAATCTATACATTTAGTAAATATCATTGAACCATTGAATTATAGTAGTTGACTTTTATGCTATATAAAGTCAAGTAATTAAGAAAAATTTGCAGTATGTAAATTTATAAAAATAAGGCAGATTAACTTCATATGGGCATAATGAAGGAAATTGATTTAGGTTAAAAAATTGGATTTGAGTTTTTAGTCAGGATGTAGGAAAGAGGTAGATATTATTGGAATGTACACATCATTGCAGGCTTTTCCCTAATCAGTCCAAACTATGGAATAAAATAAAATAGAAAATAAAATATTGTACTAATATAGATAACACTAAGTAAATTATAATGAAGTAGCCTCCTTTGGTACTACATGTAAATATTCTTTCTGTGTATATTAAATTTATTCTTCGTGATTGTCTTTTTGAGACCACAGGGAAAAGCTATGCCATAATGGGAGGGATTTAAATCTCTCCTTTGAAGAAAGGGAGATTAGCAGTGTCAATTCTTGCAATATTGATGGGCCCTGAGGTGAAATCAGAATTTGGGAGGTGAGTTTTAGGAGAGAAAAAGCTCTAGGCTCTTTCTGGGCCTTGATTTTGGAATCTTTGAGTAGAGTGACGGAAACATGCAGGAATGGAGTAGAGACTACAGAAGGTCACGGACACAATGCAGTTATATTAAAAGTAAAGTTACTTCCATCTGAGACCATGAAACCTGAAAAGAAATTTAAAAACCAAAACCATGGCATAATTTATTTGATCCCATTTTCAGGACATGATACAAGCTTAAAATGAGGGGGAAAAAAGATTTATGAAACAGTCTGGTCAGAAGAAATTGCTGAATTGAAATTGCCTCAGTTGGGATAGAACTGTATGTCCTTTCGCTCATCACTTGCTCACCATTTGCTCCCCAGTCTCTGACCAATACATTGCCTGGCACATACTAGATAATCAGTCAACAGTGGGTAGAAAAATGAATGTATCATGACATTCGTATCCCTGCTGAATACCCCATTTCCTACCTAATATCCCTCCCACCCCCTTGATATTTAGCATTTATGTGTTTATTTCTATAGAGGTGTAGTTAATTATATTTTTATTCTCATGTTCCTGTCACTGTACCTGTAGTTATTTATTGTTTTTATGTACTTGGTGAGGATTTCTTTGTGTTTTTCTTGTAACTCCATTGTATTGTGTCCTAAAGTATCTGAAAATTAGTCATACGATGAAAATCACTGACCCAATGGAAGGTATTAAAGCTACGAAACTAAAATAAACATTTTGAGGATATTAGATCAACTTAGATTGGATTATTTTTAAAATTCTATGCCCACTTAATGAGGTATAAGAAAAATAAGTGTAAGTGAGGCAAGAAATGATCATGTAAAGGTAACCTGTGGTTATAAATATACTTTGCACTATAATTGGGGTATTATTTTACTCAGTTAGTGTATTTTGTTCAGCTTTATGTTTTGTTGTTTGAGAAACACAGTATACAGTAAACTGTAGCATTAAAAGCCAGCCTCATTGCAATTTATTTTTATAGCATAGTGCAAAGCAAACCAAGCTGAAAGTACATTCAGGCACTGAGATTTAAATCCCTTATGGTAAGAAAGTAGTTTCATAAACAGATGTGATCGTGGATTCTGAGTTTGTTTGCTTGTGGCAAAAATAAAGTACCAACTCAATAAGTTTTAATTTATAGGCATCTACTCCAGAATGCCTTGGGCACTTTGAACAAAACTGACTAAAAATAAAATTTAGTAAAATGAAACCTAATATTCCCCATTCTCCATTCACACCAGGGAATATAAATTTCCCAGCTGGATAGGGGAGAGGTTTTGCCAAGTCTCTTCTAGGTGCTTTCTTGGAATTATAGCTGTGCTATGCTCTAGAAGAGGATCTTACTACATTCCTGGACACTTGAAAGTGTGAAAGTGGAGCTAGTGATGGTCATCCATCTCCAGAAGATGTTTAGATAGCCATGGTCCTGCCTAACCTGTGGGCCTGCAGACATGCAGAGCTTTTCTGTCTCACTAGTAGAAAATACTATTTGTCCCTTTTCTTTGGCGGAAACCTCCTTTTTGTATTAAAGTCTATCTCTGTCTCTGTCTCTATCTCTATCGCTATCTCATCTCCACTGGGCTGGTACCCAATATGTATATGCACAGCATCAATTTCTATGATTCTACCATTTGGCATATAGTTTACTAAAAATCCTTATTCATGTAGAATAGAAATGATGGAACAAAGAGACAGTTGTGTGGGCTTTGACCTTGAAAAGAAGTTCTTTTCCTTGCAGGGCCTTTCACTGCTTACCTCACAGTATTTTCTGCCAAGGTCTCACTTGTGAATTCCAGTATGTCAGCAGCTGTCCCCACAAACAAAAGGAGAAGTTCAGAGAGTTGGTCCCGAGTGATTGTGCCTCCAATAGGTAGAAGCCATCTTCCAATGATTAGCATTAGCAGGAATGTCTGATGGAGTCCCAAAGTCCAGTCTTTCTCACATACTGTAGATAAATTATTTACAAACACTTTGGCCTGTTTAACAGAAATGCCATACAGACAAAAGGATTAAGAGTTGCCACCTCGAGAGAGATACTTTCTTCACCATGGCTTTCAATCAAGAATTAGCTTCTGTGGAAGGTTACTTTCCGAGGATGATTATTCACTTACTAAAGAAAGTAAAACTCCTTTAACTGAACACTCTGAAAAATTTTAAAAAGCTAATGTGGTCCTTGAAATGAGAAGCTTTATAACTAGAAGTAATTGAAACCTTACACTTGCTAGTGGGATTCTTTTGAATGATACTTAAAGGGCCAATTTTATGATGTTTTAAAGATCATTTTTTATTTTATTATTCTCTGTAACTAAGTATAACACATATCAAATTTTTAAAATTCCCATGTTAAAATTAAAAAATTCCCTATATTTTCCTTTCAGCAATTTTTAAGTCTGAATTTACAAATCTGGGAATATCTTAGCATGGTACAAATCTTCTCTCTTGTTTTTATTGTTTTAAAGCGCTATTATATCAAATGAGAAAATATATAATAATGTTTAATCATTACCTAAGTGTAAATAAAGTTTTTTTCTGAATATTTGATATGTTATTCAAAAGTTCAGAAGCTAACAATCACATTATAGTCTACCTTTATTCTCGGACTCTAAGAAAAATTTACATTCCATTTATGTATTCTGGATAATATTTCTTGCCCACTTCTTAAAAAGTTTTGAAAGTATATCATTGACCCTAAAAGTTATGATCTTTTAAAGACTACAAAGCGTAGGTCTCAAGTGGATTGGATAGTGATTCCAATGATTTATGCAGTATTTTAACTATGTTTGTGCAAATCTGTTTATCCCTTTAGATGACTTGCTGATGTCAAGTGCAAGGGTAGAGGGAAAATAAAAGACAAGTCAGAATGCTAACCTGATCAAAGCCATGCATGAAGATCAATAATCTTTCATTTGCACACTTCTTTATATTTCTTCTATGAGACTTCACATACATCTTATTTATTTCTTACAGGGAGCATACTAGCATGGAATATATTAATATTTTCAATTACCAGATAAAAAAACCCCTGAGATACAGAGACTTAAGTAGTTTGTTCAAAATGATATTGGTAAGTTGTGACTGGAGTTTAATTAGATCCCAAGGCTAGTTCTATTAAACCTCACAGAATCAATAGCCTATCTTATTGTTGAAATGTGGTTCAATGGTAGGGGCTTTGGCCTTGCTCTCTCCCATATATTATTTTCTAATAGGGCCATGGTTAGTTTTCAAAATATCAGGCATGTGAATAACAAAGAAGTGATTCAATTTTGGCTGGAAACCTTTCTTATTTTATTAATATGAACACCTAAAACAGTGTAGGGCAGATCCCAATCTTATATTATACATTAACAAATATATGTATCTCACTTTATACATATATTGTCTGACCTAAGAATTAAAGGTTTGTTAATACTGCAAGTTAAACATATCTATTGATATATATGTGTGTGTGTAAATATACATATATATATATGCCTATTATGCATGTTAACTATGTTTAATTAAACCAAAAATACAATTCTTTTGCAAATTCCTGAGTCAAACAAACAATGAGCAAATTTCCTTAGAACGAGCTGAAAGGTGTGGAGCACACTATCCTTGCCAGGTGAGAAGCTTTGCTGCATCCTTTAATATACTGCGGGGAAGCTCTTACCGTCTCAATGAGACTATCGCCTCCATGGGCTTGTTCACTTGTCATCAGAGTTTGATTGAAGTCTTCTTTGCTACTGGTATTCTGCGACATTCCTTCTGATTGGCTACCACAATACTAAGAATTTTGTAAAAAGGCAATATGTCAAAAACAAAACAAAACAAAAAACACCCACAATAAGTAAAATTGAAAATGGCTGCAATATATCTAAGGAATTCTGAGCAGATATGTGGAATTTAAACAGTATTCCCAAAACTCAGATTATATGCTTGAGTTAGAAAACCACTTTTTAATTGGTCAACTATATGTCTTATTCCACAAGTCTATGAGGATGTTGACTCTCTGAGTTCATTGTAGAGAACTGTAGAATTCATCGATTGATCAATGGGGTTCCATTTTGAACCCTGGAACAACTGTAAAATAAGCCAACAATCAATGGCAACATTAAAACATGCATGATCCTGGTCAAAGCATTCATTCTAAGAGTTTGTTTCTTGTCCCAAGAAGCCTCTTTACCTAAATACCATTTTGTTTAAGTAGATGATCCAATTATTTTTCCATCTTGCCTGTTAAGCACTGTAACAATTAAAAAAATTAACATTAGCCCACCAAAATATAGATTTAGTATCAGCTTAGAGGTCAATTTAAGTTTATAGAAATTTTGATAATAGACCTAAAATAGATTTCTTTTTCCTCCTTCTTTTTCTTTGATTTTGCATGTAAATTTCTGGAAGTGAGCTGTGCATGATTTTTATCCGGCCAGATGCTAGGAATCTGAGGTAGAGAAAGTAAGAGAGGAAAGAGGTGGCACTTAAAAAATGTAACTGTACCTATGATTATTTCACAAATGGGTAAAAAAATAATAATAATAAGGTTTAAGATTTCTTTAAACAGCTGCAGGGCTAACATACTTGTGAAACACACTTCACCACCACCACCACTCATCCATGATCACACATTTGGATTTTGAGAGAAACTATTTTTTTTAATATATTTTATTGATTTTTTACAGAGAGGAAGGAAGAGGGATAGAGAGTTAGAAACATAGATGAGAGAGAAACATCGATCAGCCGCCTCCTGCAAACCCACTACTAGGGATGTGCCCACAACCAAGGTACATGCCCTTGACCGGAATCGAACCTGGGACCCTTCAGTCCGCAGGTTGACGCTCTATCCACTGAGCCAAACTGGCTATGGCAAGAGAAACTATTTTTTAAATACTAAAGCTATAAGAAGTGTATTTTTCTTAATTATTTTGGATACTTCATCAATCATTCTCTTAAAAAGTAGAAAATAAAGTCTGTCAAGAGGCTATTTTTTTCCTACCCTCTATCAAAAGTACTAGTGTTATGGGTGAGATGACAAGAATAATTAAGAAAAATGGCCATGTGCCATATCTCTAAGAGTAAAATACAACTGTTTGCACACTTTTTTATATTGCGAAGGCTCTAAGAAAAGATAATAAAGATAAAAAATTAGATATTTGAACCAAGTAATAAATTCTAATTGCAGAGTAGTTTTGTGACTCTAGTTAAAAACCAAAAATTTGACCAAAAACCTTTGATTTTTTTTATATCTTTGTCACTAAAACTCCATAGACATCTTTTTATTTTAAAGAAGTTACCTGCACTGCAGTATAAGATAACTTAGTAGCAAACAGCTGTCATCCATATTTGATGTTATAACCAACCTGAGTCCCTCTCCACTCTCGTAATTCTACTTATAATACATTGATGAAACTTCCCTTTAAGTGGCAGCTGCATTAGGACTTGAAAGACCAACTGGTTTGACTCCTTAAACCTAACCTGACTTTATTGTTTTTATGGTAATACTAGTGTCCCAGTGCATGAAATTCATGCACATTAAAAGGGAATTAATTAGAAGAAATATTTTAATATTGCTATTTGCCCTTTCTCTATAATAGAAGTGTCAGAGATGAAAGAAAATTAGTAAAATGTATATGAAAATCTCCCTCCTGTCAGAGTCTGGGGCACACCAGAGTCAAGTCCCCGCTCACCCGCGCGCCTTGAAATCACGCGAGACCCAGACCCAGCCGGCCTCACCCCCATCAAGCCCCGCAGGGCCAGGGGCACAGCCTCAGGTCCCCTGTCAAGCCCCACCAGGCAGGGGGTTCAGCCTCAGGTCCACCATCAAGTCCCGCCAGTTGGGGGAGTTGCGGCCTCAGGTCCCCTGGCCCTGGCGCTGGGGTGGGGGGCGCAGCCTCAGGTCCCCTGGCCTGGCCTCAGGTCCCTCAGCCCCGACATGAGGGCGCGAGGGTGTGATGACCATTTGCATATTAGCTCTTTATTATATAGGATTGTTTACATCAGCACCATGTAGGTGAGTTCATGTAGGTGATCTGGGTGCCAACAAGCCACTTTTTTATGGTCTATGTCTTAAAAACTCTTATTAGCTTCAAAAATATTCCTTTGGGTCAAACCAAACTGACTCCGTCAAGACCAGCAAGTTTCCATTGCTTTAACTGTACCACTTCATAAGTAAACCTAAGAGGTAAGGCCATAATTGTTGTCATAACCATTTTGTTTCCATTCATGCAGACCTTGCCAGATTCAGAAATAAAAGTACATAATTGATCATTGAAGAGGAATGTCTGCCTGAAGTAGGTCAGAATGTTTTCCTAATGCCAAGTCATAGGTTAGAACATTTAGGATTCAAAGTAAATGGAAAAAGTGAAAGGAAATTAAATTACTCTTTCCCATCAAGAAGAATTTAGATGATTTTGATGGTAAGTCCTCTAAAACATGGAACACATAACTGAGAAAGGCAGTGTGGTTAACCAAGTCGGGGTCAAGCCATGGGTTCTAAGCCCCAGAAAGTTGTTGATTAGCTGTATGGCCTTGAGAAAAGTACTTAATCTTTTTGAGTCTTGGGGTCCTCTTCTATAAAACAGAAGTGTATATACCGTGCTGAACTCATGTAGTTGCTGGATTTATAAATGAGAAAACATGCCTCAAAATACTTTGACATAAACAGGAAAAGTGATTATTATTAAACCCAAAATTTCTTAAATGAATGGACAAAGAGAATTCCTTTATTCTGCCATTTCTTATCTCTTTAAATGCAATTCCAATACCTTTTTGTCTCTTTTTCTCTCACTTTTTTTTCTACCAGGTATTTCCATCTCTGCCCACCCTGCCCAATCTAGTCTTTGGGCATTCACTTTAATTCTTCATCTCAAAATAAGTCAATTGCATTACTACTAAAGGTCCAATTTCTTTTGTAGTATAAAAATGAGAGAAGTACTGCCTGTGGCTCAAAAAATCTTTTTTTATTAAAAAGAGAGCTTTTGGTTGCAGGCTATTTGTTGTAATGGGATTTGACCTGTATATCAATTAACTGTGCCATACACTTATATTATAAAAGCATTTGGGGAAATGAATTGTTATTGTGGATGATAGCCATGTCATAGAATTGGATATGAAGGGAAAAATTGATTCAAATCGCCAACTTATTTCCATACCCCTGAAAGTAGTAAGCAGTAAGAAAATTGAAACAGTCCCCTAACTCCCTATGGTACAGTTTTTTAAAGTCATGATAACTTGAACCAACCAATCTACAGTTACATAAATACTTTTTCTACAGGAATAGAAATATCCTATCACTTTAATGTTTTTTTAAGCAGGAGATTTAAGGCAGATCAATGTTTTCCTTAATGCCTGTATTATTGGTACATGCTTGTGGAATTTTTCAAAAACAGTCCACAGAGCTAACTTCCCCTCTGTGTGCCTAAAATTTGGAGTATTTTCTTTCTAGGTTCCAATATATTAAACATATATAGGAGGCTTAACTTTGCTATAAAATGATGAATGGCAACAAATAAATCTGCGGAGGGGCAAATTCTCACAGATCTTACCAAACATATTTTATTAGTGAAGGTAATAAGATAATATTATATCATAACTATAGTTTATCTGTAAATCATAGTCTTGTAACCGCAACCCTAAAGATGTGAAGTCCAGGCTGGTGTCTGATGGACGTTACTAACGACCTCCCTGGTGATGTACAGGCTCATTAATAATAAGAAATGGCTGAATCCAGCCTAGAACCTGCTGCGTAAGATTGCCCAAGTAAGAAGCAACTCACTTAAAGCTCAGAACCTCTGTCTGTAGATAGACTAGGGTCTCTGATTGAAAGCCATTGTTTATTTTCTAGGTCAATGTGGTTCTAATACATATAGTCCACATTTCCTCATGGTGGGTCTCATGAGTCCTCGTCTTTAATGTTATTTTGGGGCTCTAGAGCAGATTTCCTATTTCCTTAAAATAGCTCATGGGGCCCTCAAAAGTGAATCTCGTGTAATCTGTCTGTATTTAAGATAATCTCAAATAGACCCTCCAAATTTGATTGCATTGATATAACACGGTACAGATGATGGGGTTTGTTTTTGTTCTTGTGGTTCCTAAAAATGTCATTTTGTAGGATGCCAGATTATGGATCCCTGCACATTCTTAGCCCCATATAGGAGCTCATTGACCCTGCAAGGGTTAAAAACAAATTTTTACACCCTCATGTAAACTCTAGCATATTGGGAGAGGGGGTGTCTTAGGAACAAATCCTAATACAAATTGTTAATTAATTATATAATCTTAAATCTTGAGTGTACTATTTTTATTGGTTTTGACAGATCACGAATTTGCTTCCGTTTGTTGATGACCTCTTTTTATTCAGTTCTTAATAAATCCAGTTCCTTAGAAAAGTACATTTCTGACACAAATCAGATTAGAATATGAAAGTAGTTTATTGCTGAATGTTCCACTTTTCTATTTTCCAAAAGGATGTACCTGGTTCCCATGTTGTACTTCAAGAATCCACAGTGATGGGACGATGTTAATCAGATACACAAATATGGCTGGTGAAAACCTGTGAAAGAGGGGGGGAAGATAGTTCAGCTTTTACAAAACAAAGAGGAAAAAAAGGAAAGAAAGAAAATAAATGCACATACCCTGACCACAGTGAGTCAAATCTTTTCATCTCAAGTGTTTACTTCGATGGGAAGAAAAAAACACTATGTGATTTCTGCCATATGGATTATAGAAAAACAGAGTAACTGTAAAAGGCACTAGCAGCTGTCATTCTCACTGAATTTCTAATCCAATTAATAGACGTTAATTTTAATATGGTTTAATGAGGCACTGCCAATTAATTTCAGGCACAAAACGGGATATTTTTATTTAATATGTTTTACAAAAAGCAAATACAGCATGAGTAAATCTTCTTGGATTTTTCAGCATTGCAATTTCAGTAGCATTGACTACATTTTTTAACATTAACCTGGAATTCTGAGAGCTCAAATAATAACATTCGGTTAGAACACAAAAATCAGATGATAATGAATAGAAATGAGCAAAATCAACTGGCTTTATCTGTATCTGCTAAAAATAAAAATACACATGGCAACAGAGGAAGGGTTTTGTATCTTTTTTAAAGACTATTTATATTCATTACTAGTATTTTCTGGCTCAAAATTCAGAGGGCTACCCAAAGAGTAGGTTTTGAAGTTATACACAGGTTCAAATGCCAATTTTGACCTCTCAGTTTGCATCCTAATCCACAAAATGAGGACAGTCAGTGTATTAGTCAGCGTGGCCTGCATAACACAATACATAGGCTGGGTGACATGAACAACAGAAATTCACTTCCTCCCAGTTTTTCATATTTGAAATCCAAGATCAGGGTTCCAGTATGGTTGAGGTTTGGTGAGGGATCTCTTCCTAGTTTGTGGATAGCCACCAAATTGCATTTTATTTTAGATTGGACTCTTATAGACCATCTCAAAGTCAAAATTGTAAGTAAATGTAATTTTATTAAAATACTTGAAGTACACACATGTACTGGTTTTAAATGACCTGAAAAATAGAAATGTTAATTGCTCAACAAGTAGAATTATCTGAGATGTATTGCTACTAAAACTGTACTATTATAATCCAGGAGAGAAAAGTGAACAAATCTAAATGGAAAAGAACATTTAGAATGGACTTTTTAAAGGCTTTCAACCCTTTCACTAATATCTTTCAACTTATGGGGAGAGGAAGAGAGGAGGGATAAGAGAAAGAGAGCTCTTTAAAAATAGTCAATATTTAATATAGAAACTTTTCCACCTTTGATTTTTTCGCAAAATCCAATTTTGAAACAAAAGGTTATTGGTCACCTTATTAAAATCTGACTTGGGAGATGGCTGGGCTGCAGAGAGATATCAAAAGCCTCTATTTTGAACATGCTCTTAAAAAGGAAAGAAACAATTAATTTTGTGACCTTCCATATCAAAGGAAACATCAGGAGAGACTATTTCCTTTGTGAGATTGGGGCAGGAAATAAATTCTAGTCAGAGGACAGTTGCAATATGTAAATGTTTGTTTGGATACCTATAATGTTAGCTAGACTGCAATTTTGTTGACCCTCTTGAGACTGATTTTGGGATTAACTCCCTGACAATACTGTTACAATAATAATCTAGGGAAACCATAGATTGAAAATATAACAGCTCTTGAAAGAGGTTAAAAATAAAACAAACAATTACCTATAACATTTTCTTTTATTTTCATTCCCTTTTTAAATATTTTTCATTGATTTCAGAGAGGAAGGGAGAGGGAGAGAGAGATAGAAATATCAATGATGAGAGAGAATCATTGATCAGCTGCCTCCTACATGCCCTCTACTGGGGATTGAGTCAGTAACCCTAGCATGTGCCATTGACTGGAATCGAACCTGTGGCCCTTCAATGGAACCTGTGACCCTTCAGTTCACAGGCCAACTCTCTATCTGCTGAGCCAAACCAGCTAGGGCCCTATAACATTTCTATGTATAACATTTATTTCTAAAATTGTAAAAAGTACTATCCTGTTTCGACTTATTTCCTCTAACTTGGACTCTAGTTATGTTAAAAAACAAAACAAACAAAACCAAAAAAAAAAAAAACAACCCACAAAAGTCAAGATCCAAACTTTTCTGTGTTTCCTACTACAGAAAATCTAAATTCCATAATCTGATAGTCTAAGCTTCCATTATTTAGCTTTATCTCCACTTCCCCTTCCGCTTCCCTTACCACATCCTATCAAGCTGAGCTACTTGAAACCCACTGTGAGGATCCAACCTGCTATGTACAAACAAAGCAAAATGTTTTGGAAAGTTGCCCTCACTTCAGTCCCTCTTCATTAGACTTATTTGACATAAGTGAAAAGGGGGTAAAGAAGGAATCACCTTGAGGTCTCAAAAATTAATCATATTCAAATCATGAGTGTCAGAATCCATGGTCTTTCTCACCATATTTCCCACCCTCTTAACCCAATATGTAGTACCACGAACTGATCAATAGCAAATCAGAATCAGGAGTTTCCTTCTCTCCTTCCTCTCTGTCTAACTCCCAGTAGCAGGCTGTAGCAGTTATACAATTCAAATTCTTTAAAAAAAATATGGAGAAAATAAAAGTCTCTATTACCTAGAGAAGTATTAAAATACTAGTGGCCCAGTGCACAAAATTTGTGCATGGGGCGGGGGGTGGTCCCTTAGCCCGGCCTGCACCCTCTCCAATCTGGGACCCCTCCGGGGATGTCTGACTGCCTGTGGGATCGGTTCTAAACCGGCAGTTGGACATCCCTCTCGCAATCCGGGACCGCTGGCTCCTAACTGCTCTCCTGCATGCCTGCCTGATTGCCCCCAACTGCCCCCCTCCTGGCCTGGCTGCCCCACACAGCCTACTGTTTGGTCATTACTGTTACTGTGACAACATCCTGGACAATTTTCATATTCCTCTATTATTAGTATAGATTCATGAAGTTAGAAAAAATGCCAAGATGACATATAAGCAAGTGTGAGGAGGGCACTCAGAAGATATCATGAAAGTGTCTTTCCTTAACAGCATACCTTATTAATAACTAGAGGCCTGGTGCACGAAATTTGTGTACTGGGTGTGGGGGGTGGGTTCCCCTCAGCCCAGCCTGCACTCCAATCCGGTTTCCCTTGGGGAATGTCCAACTGCCAGTTACAATCCTGGACTGCTGGCTCCTAATCGCGCACCTGCCTGCCGGCCTGATCATCCCTCACTGCCTCTGGTGCTTTCCTGGCCCCTGATGTATTTGGAAAGAAAATAGCTCTGAGTTTGGAGAAATTAAATGAGAATCATGACTCTAATTCAACTGCCTCCTGTACTTCCAGCCAGATAACAGGAAAAACATACCGGGGCTAGTGCCTCCTATGGCTGAGCTCCGGAGTGAGGGCCTGCGGCCCAGCACTGGGCGGGTGATGGCGACTGGAGGCACCTTGGGTCCGTCTTGCTGTCAGCCCAGTGACCAGGGCCCTCTGCTCCCAGCCCCTCCTGAGCCCTGGTGTCTCCTAACGGGGTCCCGAGGCTGCGCCCCTGATCCTCCTGCCCTCTCCTCTCTGGGGACCGGGGTGCGGCGGCGTGGGGTGCAGGCATCCCATTTTCATTAAAATGTTTAACCTGTGCCAGCTCCACTGGTGTCCACAGGCGGCCCAGGGAAAGACAGTGATCCCGGAGGCACTTGCTGCCCCCACCAGAGCTCAGCCATGATGGTCTGGGGTGAGAGAGCCCCGCCAGGCATCGTAGCTGTGACTTGGACCCGCTTCCTTAACCAGGGACCTGGCGCTGGGTGGGCGGCAGCGGTGCTTCCTCCCCAGCCTGCGCTGGAGCGGGTGCCTGCAGTTTCAGAACGAAGCTCCGAGGGCCTTCCCAGGTGGCAGTGGCCCTGAGCCCGCTGGCTCTCCCTCGATCCCACCAAGGCTTGCTTCTCTCACTTGTTTCTCACACTTGCTTCTCACACTTGTTGAAAGACCTTCTCGGTCCACTTGCCATAGTAATCAGTTTGGGCTGAAAGGACTGGGGGACTTCAGCCACCCCCCACCCCACCCCACCCTTCCCGCGGGGCTGAAAGGACTGGGTGACTTCGGTGGGGCTGAGGGGACTGGGTGCTGCCATCTTTGTGACCATGTGACAGTCAATTTGCATATTCTGTCTTATTTTGACTATGAAGAATACATTTCAGCCATCTATGTTTCGTTTGACCATGGGTCCCCCTAAGAATAAAGTACTCTGTGCTCCTTCACTTGGTTAATCTACAAGAGAGGTTCTAAAATGGCTTTATAGCAAATGTCCCTCCAAATTATAATTTTCTGTTTTGGAATACTCTCCCTTTATGTCTCTACCCTTCAACATCATACCTGTATTTCAAGGGCATACCAGGAATTAATCTTAACTTGTATTTCTCCTGGGACCCAACACATTCTCACTGTTTTATAGTTATTTATATATGAGACTTAGATTTCCTAAATTCCTTAAAGGTGGATCCTGAATATTTTATCTTTATGTCCCTCCCCACTTCCCTTTCCTTCATCTTATCCTCTCCTCAGTGGTATCAGGTGCCTTACTAAGTCTTTAATTAATGCTTGTTAAACAAATGCTTATTTGCTTAAAAATTCATGAATTTACAAATAAGGAAGGACTGAACAAATGCAGTGAATGGAGGCTACTAGCATCTACCAGGACCTTTTATTCCCATTTCAGGAGGTCCAGTGCCAAGTGTGCTTCTTTCGTTGTGCCCCTTGAGGAATTGTCACAGTGCAGTAGAAACTTCACAAAATTAAGAGACCCAAATTTGAACCTTGCATCTTCCATTCATTTATCGTTGGAAAATCGCTAACTTCCCTGAGACTCAATACCCTTGTCTATAAATAGGGAAAATAATATCCACCCCATAGGGTAGTTGTAAGGATTAAATGAGACAGTATGACTTATGTGCCTGATATTGTATTGATACGGAGTTTTTGGACTGGATTGCACCGTGTTCCCCTGGGCAAGATGGTGTCCTGGGCTCTTATCCTGTGGAGGCGAAGAATGAAACTATGGA